TCGTTCAAATACTTGTCTTAAAGAATCAAGGTGTTGAGTATATGATTATGTCATCCATATAAACTAAACATATTTTACCAAGTAATTCATTCAATACGTTTTCGATAGCTCTCTGAAATGTGGAGGAGGCATTTTTCAAGCCGAAGGGCATTCGTAAAAACTCGTAATGTCCGTGCTCTACATTAAAGGCTGTTTTTGGTATGCTTTTAGGATCCATTTCTATCTGGTGGAATCCGCTTGCTAAATCTAAAGTTGTAAAATATTGCGATCTTCCAAGCTTATCTAATATATCCGCTATATTAGGTAATGGATACCTGTCATCTATGGTTTTCTCGTTTATTTTACGATAGTCTATAACGAGTCTCCATTTTTTCTTTCCTGATGCGTCTGCTTTTTTGGGTACAATCCAAACTGGTGAGCTCCAGGGTGAACTCGAAGGTTGTATGATTTTATCTTCTAACATTTTTCCTATTTGGTTTTTTACTTCCTCTTTATGAACATGAGGGTATCTGTAGCTTTTGGTATGTATTGGAATTTCGTCCGTTGTGCTAATTACATACTTTACTTGATTTGAAAAAGTTAAGGTATCTCCAGGTCTATGCAAAATTTTATTAAATTTTTGTATAAGTTTGAAGAGATGAAGCCGTTCTTCAGCATTCAAGTGTTCATGTCTTATTAAAGATTTTAAGTCTACTTTTTCAGAGTCTTTCATTTGTAAGGGTTTTACATGTGACGTAGTTATTTGCTTTTCGAAAGTTAAGATCTCAAAATTATTGAGTTCAATTGGTTTGAATGGTAAAGTTTCTTCAATATCACAATCTAAGACAAATGATCTGTCTGAGTGATTAAGAATATCGACAGTATAAGTATTGTCAACAATTGTCACTAATGTTGGTTGTATTTCAATAAATTCATCATGTACATAAGGTAATAGCCAAGTTGTATTATTTGGTAACTTAGTTTTAAAAGTAACCTTTTGTATGGTTTTAGGAGGTATTTCAACTATGTATTGATTGAAATTTTTCCTGTATTGGAAAGGGATTTTTAAATATTCATTTACCAATAATTTATTTTTTAAATCAATATTTAAATTTAATTTACGAAGATGTTTTATACCTAATATACCATCAAAATACTCATGAAATGGGTACAGAATGAACTCCAAGGGTTCAGATATGCCATAAGGTAATAGTAATGGAATGTCTGCTTTACTTGTAGTCTTTTTATTTCCTGCACAAGTTTGTAAAGTAGTTTTATAAGGTACAATTGATTCTGGAAATAGAGTTTCAGCTAATGAAGGTCTTAGTAAGGATGCATGAGATCCTGTGTCTATAAGTAGTCGAATATTATACTTAGAATTAGGAATATTAATATATGGTAAGCGATTAATTTGAAAGCTATTTAAACTTAAGCATGATTTTTTGTTTAATCCGAAGCTTGTAATTGAAAATTTTCCAATTGTTCAGCTAGAGTTTCATCAGTAGTTGAAGATTGGTCATTTTCATCATATTCATAGACTTGATTATCTGAATAATCAAATTCAGTATTTTCTTCATAATTATTCTCAACATGAGTTAATTCTTGAAACGTAAAGTTAGGAGGTTTTCCTGTTGACTGAAAAGGTTTTTGAGTATGTCTTACAGTTGACATATTCTTTCTGGGTTGAACGCTTACACCTGACATTGGTTGAGGGTAAGTTTGTTTAGAAGTTGACTGATTTTTATTAGTTTGATTTATAGGTTTAAATTGCTTTTGAGTCTTGAACTGATTAGTTCGACTTTGATTATTTTGGTAATTATTATTTGATTTTGAAAAATTGGAAGTTGTTGCTGTTGATTTCAAATTTTTCGTTTGATTATGATTTTGTAAAAATGAATTTTTGAAGTTATTTTGACTTATTAAAATTTCATAATTTGTAATAATGTCAATAGCAGTATCAAGATTCTGAGGATTCTGGACAATTAAGAGTGTTCTCAATTCACTAGAAATATTAGCCAGTAAATTTTGAGTTGCAGTTAACTCATTTTGATTTATCAAAATTGTTCGCGCTTCTATATTTGCAATGTCCGTACAAATTTTAGTATTTATTTTGGTAACTAAGGCTTTGAGTCTTTGAATATAGTCTTGTGTAGACTCATTTTTCTTTGTTAAAATTATTAACTGTTGTTGTAAGTTAGCTCGAGTGAGAGGATCACTGAACTTTTGTCTTAGGGCTATTTTAATTTCATCCCAAGTTGTTAAATCAGATCTGATTAAAAGAAAATCTTCAGCAGATCCTGTTATTTTGGATTTTATTGCGAGATTAACATATTCCTGTTGTGAGACGTCATTATTGAAATATCTATTATGGAAGATATCAATTTGCTTGACAAAAGCCTCTAAATGTGATGGAGTACCATCAAAGGTTTTTAAAAGAGTAACAGTTGATCTCAAAGCGTCAGCCATTTCGTTATTTATTAATCTAGAATTATTATCAATAGGTAATAAATTGTTGAAATTAAAATTATTAAAATCGTTAGTATCATATGTTTCTAAACTAATATTAGGATATAAACTAGCTATATCAAAATTAGGAAAATCGTCGGTTAATAGGCGATCTTCTGAACTTGTTGAAGTTGAAGGTTGATTTGTTGATTGAGGTTGCTTTGCTCCTCGTTTTGGATTTCTTGGATAAGAAATTTCTTCTAAGATTTTCTTAGAACGGTCTCTAAATTTTTTCATTTAGAGTTGTACAAGGTTTTGTACAAAATGTTTCATTTCATTTGGTTTATAATTAAACCTTAATTTACTTTGCAAAAGTGAAAATTTCACTTATTTGAAATGAAAACAATGTCTTAACTAACAGGCTGTTCAATTAACGGAATAAGGGACTTAAAAAAGTAGTATTCCAATTTCTGACCTGTATCAAACGTTATCCTTGCTGAGGAGATACACTGATCCGGTTAGACAAGTCTGTAGTGGACACTAGTATAACACCAAAATGTCCGGGCTGGCTTCTCTCGTTATGGCGAACCACACAGCGATGTCTGCCAGGAGCCAATAGCACTTCACTGTTCACTTTGTTGTTGTTTGGAGTTCCTTTCTTAACTGTTAGGACAGATAGGTACGCACTCACGTAATCCAATTCAAACTTTTCGAAAACCCGAAAAAACTCGAAAAAGAATTCCTGTATACCCGAAAGGAATCCTACCGACTGCGCCAGTTATGTTTTAAATTAAGCAACTTATGTTTTTAAAAAAACTTTATTACTTAATAAATAACGTGTGAACTCAGTGAAGCGAACTAAAGAACTAAACTCTGCTCGAATTTATATAAAAGAATAAATGCTGAGCTAGACTATGACTAATTGTTATTACAATTATCATGAATCATCGGAGATGGCCATCTAATTCTAGTTTTAAGTTCATATTTATTGTTTTTTTTTTTACTCTTTTTTTGTTTTTTTTGCCCTCGATTTTTCCTTTGCTTGTAATTACTTTTATGATGTTTGTGAAGATGTTTCAATAAATAAAATAAAAATAAATAAAATAAATTGAAGACCATAAAACAGAATAAAGGGAAGTTGAATTTTGAATTTTTCAAAATTTCAGAACACAGTAGTATCTTGAGTTTCAATATCAAAAATGTCAAGGAAAGAAATGTTCAAATAGCCTCGCCAATCAGTATCAGAGCAGCGAAAACTATATATCTACCAATAAACATAAATTCTGAATAAACCCACCAAGAAACTGCATAGATATTTGTAATTATCTAGGTAGGCATTATTTTAACGAAAACTGGTTACACCACATACTAAGCAACGATTTGTGTGGTCCTTTTTTATAAGTTTCAAATGAAACCTTAACAAGTAAATCATTGCAATAATTTATCATAAAAATTCGAATATAGAACAATACTTGGTTTAATAGCCGAGAACAAGACATTAAACGTTGGTAGGTACCTAACCAGGCATTATATTATGAGAAATCTTTGAAGAATAGATTTTACTTTCACTCGAATAAAAATAGTGCAGCCAAACAATAAGAGAGGCGTAATCTGTAAAATATGGTGAAACGATTACACAGTACGCGAATCGTAAATAAATAGTTAGTGATTTTAGTGCTATTGGAGCAAAGTTCGTAGCATTCACAGGTTACGGGTATGATTAAACAGAAGTTATTTATTTATTTTTGGTCTGTGCAATTTAATTAACATTATTTATTCAAATTAAAAAATATTTATAACTATTTGGATGAGTGTTTAAATGGGTTTTGTGACGTTTCTACTTTTCTAGCTGAAATATTTAAAGCTCTCCTGGATAAAAGGAATAATTCTGTCACATATATCTCAGGAAATTTCGTGAGAAATAAAGTTGGAATAACCATTCCAGCAGTCCATGCGAAAGAAAAACTGAAATTTATTTCGAGCATAAAATTGTCAAGCTAAATTCGAAAATAATGAATGCTTAAAGTTTTCTCTAAATTTAGCGCTAACATAAAAATGTAATCACTCAGTAGGGCGAGAAATCTCTTATAGTTTATGCAAGCTCCCATAAGGAGAGAGTAATATATTCCCGCCAGAGACATGCTAGGTGATAAGACAAGAAGCCATTTAGGAAGGAGCCCAATGTTGGATGATTAAATAGTATTCTCAGGAAATGTCTTATTTCTCAAAGAATTTTATCTTATCTTTCCAAGAAGTTTTATTATAAAACAATTTTTTTTAAATTTAACTGAAGCATTTAACTTTGTGGACAAAAATATTTTGCTTCTGGGCTGCTTTTATTGGGATTAAGAAGTAAGTACCTACTTAATATATAAAATTCCATACACAAATCGCTTTGAGAAGTCGTGCGATCGTTTCACATTATAAGAAATATCAATTTTGATGACAAGTAGAAGTTTTCCTTTACTTTACTGAAAAATCGTAACAGGTTGTTAAAAACACCCATCATGTAGGTACCAAATTATTCCTGATTCTTAAAAAATAAACTGCTGATAAATAATGTAAATACAGTGAGGCGAATTCAACTTATATGATTTTATTATTCTTAATATCAAAAGGAAAACAAAAATCATGCATTATCTTAAATAGTTAGGTAGGTATCTACATAATAATATGTTATTGTGTATTTAAAAAAGGAATAAAACAGTACTACAAATAAATGATTTGATCAAGTATAAATAAAAAATTATCAACATATTTCTAAAAATAATACAAAAATGTTTCTGCACTTGCAAACAATTACTTATTCCTTTAAAGCTTCTTGCAGTTTCTTGCGCACCAAAGCAACTCTGTCTTCTTGCCTCTTAATGTCATCTTCAGAAACATTAACTGCCTGTACTAAGGGCTGTTTCGGATCCAAAAAAACCCCTGGATTTTTTTCTAAAGATACTTTAGTACCAGTCTGCCCTGTAACGACTAATTTTTCAAATAATAATAAATAGACATAATAGTCGTCTTACCTGTGACAGAACTAGCAGACACATGTAAAGCAGTAGCAACGCTCTGTATAATCGTTTCCTCTGTGACATTAGGCCCCACTGGTTTTAGTCCTTTGGGAAGCTGCATGCCTTCGAATTCCACTCCATCAATATCGCAAGCCCTCAGTCCCTCGAGACGTTTCTCCCAAAATAACTGCTTCGGTTTTTCTTGATTCCCATTTTTATACTCTGCAAAAAAAAAAGAAACGTGACAATATTGTTAAGTGAACTCGGCGAACTTTAAACCTATGAAAAATGAGGGACGATTTGTTTCAAATTTTCAAATGGAGTTTTTTCCAGCAAAATGACGAAAAATAAAAAATGTTTAAGCAATCGAGAACTGTAATGGAGATTGCGAATAATATTTCAAATCGATAAATATATTATATTCAATAAAAATCGCGTGTGCAGAATCTGTAAAATGCAAGCAAAAATACTCGTAAAATTTAAACATCCGCCTGCCAGGCTTCTCTCAACGAAATCGTAACGTAATCCTCTCAAATATCTCAGAAACCATTTAAGTTCAGCATAAAGTATTGCCTTACGTAGGAGGGTAAAGATGTTATATAATATCGGTGGAAGTGCGGTATTAAATGATCACTTAGATGTTCCAATTAAAGCTGAACTTTTACTCTAATAGAAGCCTCAATGATTTTCAATTGGACGTTTTTTCCTCGCGCTCATAGTAAGTAATCAGTTCAAAGTGGTATTAATGCAAAGTTTTGAAAGCTTGTTAGTTTATAATGATGTATGTATAACGAACTTTAACTAGTGTGCGAGTGTTGCTTTTTCAAATACACGAAGATTTGAGATTCTATAGAAACATAATTGAAAAATGTCCAACTTCGTCGTTTTTATCCTCAGACCTATGAAACCATTTATCTTTTTGTTTTATATTGTTTCATTCTATAACATCCTCCCTTGATATTATATTTCATTAAAGTTTACCGAACAATAGTGCCTAATTAATACTAACATAATAATACGCGGGGCATATTATTGTATTATACTTGGCTAACTTGAGTTGCACAACTTAAAACAAGGCTGAAAGTTTTGTTATGTCTCGGGCTATGTTGTATTGGCAATAGGAAACTATGAGACACCAAAATTAAAACTCATAGGTACTTTGGTTATCTGTTTTCATGTCCCTTAACACCAGTCGATATTCCTGGGATCAGAAAAACCTTTTCATATGATAACTTTCGAAAACAAAAATTCCTCAGGCTATCATATGACATGTCCATTAAGCTATTACTCCATCTTAACAATAGGGTTTTTTGTGCGCTTGGAGATGCAATAAATGATTCCTTTGACTAGAGTTTCCTAATATCCTTAAGCATGCAGTGGTTTTACCTGTTCACATAGGGGGAGACAGACTCTCCAGCAAATTTCCGTCCTATTCCTCTTCTTCCTTCACTTGGTAAGCTGTGACTGGTCAAAATTAGAGTTCTTTCATTCCTCAATCTGAACAGTTCCCTCTCCGATAATCAATTTGGCTTCCAGTGTGGCAAAGGAACATCTGATATTCTCCCTACTGGAAGATATTTATTTGAGTACAAATGAAATCATCTTCCAGCAGCGGTGTTTTGTAACTTGTCGAAGACTTTCGACTGTGTCGATCATTTCTCTTTCTTCGGTAAGGCACTATTCCACTAGGCAAGCTAATAATATTGTAGAGGACTGTATGTATGCTTGAATGTTTTTCATTCGATTGAATAAAAACTCCATGGAATACATTCATGTCGTTTATTATGATAAAATACATCAACAAGAACACTGGAAGCTCACTAAACTTTTGCATTTACTATTGCTAATACCATAGATTAATACTAATAATACTGCCATTATATAATAATCACAATACTGCTTTCTGAGTTAAATAAAACATGGAATCGTTTTATTGTGGACCCAATAAAAAATAATAGCTGAAATTGTGAGAAGAGCATAGCGTGTGTGAGGTGGTGCCAGTCTTCCCTTGTACATGTATTGTTCGCACAGCGGTTCTGAGTCTACGGAAGAAATTCGGACGTAAATGTGCGAAGCTGCCACGTTTAATTATAAAAAAGCGAAAATACTAGGCATGAAGTATAGTTCATTTGAAAATCCATTTTTATAGATAGATATATAAATAACAATAAAACGCTAAATATTTCGACGTGCATAGCATTTGGAAAATCTTGTACTGTGCTAAATTTACGACTGATTTTTGCTCAGGAAGATCCACGGTATCAGTTTCAACCCTATTTTCACTAATTGTTAAGTTAACATCATAAAGAATTTGTGAACCGTTCCACCAGTCATTAGATTCTATCAAAGATGATGTGTCTAAACCACGTGACACGTAATCTGCAGGGTTGTTCGAAGAAGATACATGACCCCACTGAAAGGTTGTGGTGAGTTCCTGGATTTCGGAAATTCTATTGGATACGAACGTAGTCCACCTATCTGGAATACTATTTATCCAAGCCAGCACTATTTTTGAATCAGTCTAAAGTACGTCCTTGGAGAACTTAACTTGAAGTGTGTGAACTGATCTTTGACATAACCGAGCCATTAAAAGTGATTTGCACAATTCAAGCCTAAGAATCGTCACCTGCGTGAGTGGTGCCCAATGACATCAAAACACAGATAGACCGAACAATAAACAAAATTTTCGTATGACAACATCTCTCTGTCTCTTTTGGGTCTTTGTGCTATCCCCACCAATGAGAATGCCAAATTTTGTCTTGAATCCCTAAATAATATATTTTTCTCCTCTAATTAACATTTTCAATTTTATTTCTGAACTCAATTTGGCAACAGCAGATTATAGCAAAACACCGCCCAGAAGCGGCTTGTTCAATGGCAGGCAGGTGTTGATTGTAGTAGCTAGCTATCTTTATTGCAAACAGGGATTATTCATTAGCGTTAAACAAGAAACGACTAACACGATATTGGTACTCCCAGAATAAAGGGCTCGTATCGAATATTTTCAGTTTATTTGTCAATTTGTTATTTTATTTATTCATCCAATTAAATTTCGAGATATATTCACGTATGGGCGGGGTTTTTTACACCATTTTGAGCAATGATGTCTCCCTACCCCGACCCCGCGAGCAACTCACCTCCCCTGGCCCATGGGTGGTCTTGTCAACACAACAAATAATAGTTTATGAATGGGATGATCCGTCTATCTGTGTTTTGATGTCATTGGTGGTGCCAGTCTTGATTTTGAACATATGAGTTTACAAGTAACTTCGTTATTTTTGTAGATAGTTCTGAGAAACAAGTCCCGTAAGCTTTGAGAGAGGCATCTGAGAAGCCATCAAGTTCGAATGACACTACCTGATTTGTCGAACTGAATAACAACCTTGGAACCTGAAGATTTCTCAGAACGAACACATTACCTGCAAAAACATTTCACTTATTCAATAAATCTCCTGTTAGCTTTGAATCCCAATCCAGTTTAGCTACCCAAATATTTTGCATAAGAATTTTCCCTAAAACCACTAACAGATCTATGAAATCTAATGGCTCAAATAAACTGGCTATATGAGCAAGTACATTCCTTTTTGTTGGTGCAGATTCTTGTCTATGGAGGATCCCACAAATAGTGAAATTGTCAGAGGATGCCTTCCAAAATATACCCAAAACCTTTGTTAAATTTGCATCAACATGAATAAATGATTCTTCCTTACAATCAATTTGATTTCCCAAGTTATTGACATTAAAAACCCATTTATGTAATGATTGTCCTGTAGATTCCAACAATTCAATTAATTCCCGATAAAGTTGTTGAAAGTCTGAAATGGACCTTGAGCCTCCTAAAATTTCATCAACATGTTTGTTCGATAAGAGCTTTGCTAGCCAATAGATATGAGGAGCTATTTTCTCTTGCCAACTGTATAACACCTAGTGGCAAGAAAAGGTGCTGAATTCATGCCATACGTTACAGTCGAGGTTACAGTATTCAATACAATGCATTTAAGGTAGTATGGATTGAAGATGATGATGTTGCGAATTAACCAAAACCTTAATATCTGCTGTGAAAACAAATTTAAACGTCCTGAAGCTACATACAATATCAAACAGTTCAGCCTGAACAGTTGGACCTTTATACAATACCTCATTGAGAGCTACACTTGTTGTCTTCATGCTTGCGCCAAATACCACCCTTATTTGGTACTAATCGCTTGTTCCCTAATAACGCAATGATGTGGAATAAAATATTTTTTCAAAGAATTTTTTGCCTCTAAAGACAATTCAGTATAAGAAGCATATCCTTATTGTACGTATTCATCAATAAATGCTTTGTACTGACAGAATAGATTTTTGTCCCTATACAATCTACGTTTTGCCAACTCAAAAGAATCGTCTAAATTCAAATTTTCAAGATTACTTTTCAACGGTAAATTAACGATAAATCTTCCTGCGTGTCCCTTTGGGTTGAATTCTGAAAAATACTTTCTGCAGTTTCATCTTCGAGTGAAAGTAATTTTGGATTAGAAATTTTTTCCAATTGCCAGAATTTGGGAATTAATTCATTAATCTCTGGTTCGATTTTAGAAAAAAGAACAACACTTAAATTTGATACAAAGTTATCTTAGTTATTACCAACAGACCCTGCCAAAATCCAACCTTTGGAGTTTTGTAAGATTAGCAATCCTGGGCATAAGATTAGCAAACCTATGACTCGATAGTATCGTTCATCTCTAGACGAAATAGATAACTTCATTGTAGTTGAGCTCAAGACAGACAAAGGAGTCGAAGATTTAAGAAAAATTATTAGATAAGATCCTTATTATTGTTCCGAGTGTTGTTCATACCTTAAAACAAATTCAAAAATACAAAATGCATATCTCTTCCCTGTTTTGGACGTAGGAAATTGAGGAGAAAAAGAATGGTATGCAAGGAAAGTGCTCTGAATCAATTGATAAACAATTAATAATATATATTTTATTTTGTTTCTTTTTTTTAAGTTTTTTTTTTTGTTTTGCAATACCCCTCACCCTAAGAATTAGGTGTTAGTTTATTATGAAAAGTTCTCGGAAAAGTTATTTTGAATCGCCTTTTTATTTGCTCTTTGTCAATAAATTACTCGATAAATTTCCAACAAAACCAGAGGAATTTTCTGGGAATTTGAAGGAATTTATGATAGTCTAGGACTAGGAGGCAGTGACGATTTTCGGTACTTATTTTCCCAGTCAGAA